TGTGTGTGTGTGTGTGTGTGTGTGTGTGTGTGTGTGTGTGTGTGTGTGTCCCCTCTCCCCGTTTCCACACCAATCTCAACAACTACCGACTGTCCGCCGGCCCCTCTCGCCCGCTCTATGAAAACAAATTACGAGATTTCTATTTACGATCATCATCGAAAACGGCCGAGCGCTCGTGTCCTCGATTTTCGAACAAGCTCCTCTCGCTCTCTTTCTCTCTCTCTCCGCATCGAGATTTCTTCCCTCCCTTCCCTTCATTTTTCTTAAACGTTCTTTATTTTGATTATCGGTCGAAACGCGAAATCGAAATCTCGTTTTTGAGATTTTTTTTTTTCTTTGCTGTGTTTTTTTTGCGAGCGAAACGAATGAAAATTTCGCTCGCTCGTGTAATTCGCGATATTTCGACAAGTTTCGAAGTTACGAAGTTGAAGATTAATTCGTTTTGTTTTCGAAACGATGTAATAATATTACGAGTTACGAATGTTCGAGCGATTCGATTATTAATTTCAACGAGTCTGAATTGAACTGAATTTCGTTATTCCAAAACGAAAGAAGGGCGAAGAACGGAGGTGCGCAAAATGATTTCGAAATTTTTGCTTTCGCGGAAACAGTTCGCTATCTTTTTCTACTTTTTTTCGAGAAACATTTCAATTTTGGAAAAATATTCAAATATGGGAATCGGGTCGAATAAATCAAGACACGCGCGACATTTTCATTTCGCGGTCGAATCTAACGAGCGCATCTTCATTAATTTTTCCTTCTTTTTTTTTTCCATCGTCCCACATCGACACACGCGCAGACAAATGTCACAACGTCGAAATATCGTTTTTCTCTGCTCCCTTCTCGAGAAAAACGAGAAGATCCTTAGAAATAGAGAGGATTCACTTTCTCTCAACCAGAAAGAAATGCTTGAAATCCTTATCGCGAGAAACGTGCGAATAGCTCGGCAGGTAAAAACATATTAACGAGAAGAGGCTCGCCTCGGTCGGTAATTAATCGATCCTTCCTCTCCCCTCCCAGTTTTTCGCGCACTCGCGCGTATCGATTCGAGAAAATTCGAATCGAGCGAAGAATCGGTAAGATCATCGCCGTATTCTCCGAGGCTGACGTCAACTTCGACGCAGCGTAAAGACGCCGCAATATAAATTCGCAACGTGTGGAAAAAAAAGAATACCGAAACATTGGCGTTAATCCGTGTCAATATGATCGATTAAAAGGAAACGACGAAGGAGGGATTCGAAAAAACGATATTGCGCAACGATCGCAAGTTTATCGTTTGAACAAATTTTCAACAACTCGAGATCGAGCGAGAAGAATTTTTCTCGCCGAGAAGAAATGGAGGAAGCACGTGGGCGTAGCAGTTCGGATATCCTCGGATCTACCTACAGGTGGTAGGAGGAGGGGGTGCGGTTAGGGTGGCGGGCGGTGGAGGATCCCGCTCGGGGTATAATAGAGGGTGCAACAGCCCTCCTCGGCTCACTTCGCGGCCACGCATCGAAAACTTCAAGTCGGCCAAAAATCCAACGGATATTTTATCCTTCTCCTTTCGATATATAAAATAAGGTAGGATTCGTTGTTCGGTGAAAGGAAAAAGGAAAAAGTATCTTCCTTTACTTCTCACGTTACGCCAACGTAACGTGGACGTAATTTATCGTTATTACGCGAAATCGATCGAGCGCATCATCCTCTTCTTCTTTTTCTTCAACTCGCGCGAATCGATCGCTAATCGTTTTGTTTACCAGCATTTACCATTCGACGCGCGATAATAACCGTGAACCGCGACCCCCTGCGAATGCGCGGCGACACACACATACACACATAAACACACACACACATACACACATGCGCGATTCAACTGCGTCGTCCATCCGTCGTAAAAAAGAATCGAAACGATCGAGCTTGGTGGATAATCTTCGTTATCTCTTTTTCCTCCTCCTATTATCCGTATGTGTAACAGGATCCAGGGATTTCGCATTTTCGACACATCCAGGGAATAATCTCGGATTATTTTCTTATTTTCTTCTCGAACGAGATTTGAAAGAAGTTTCTTCGAAGGAGAGAAATCTTGGGGGGAGGAGGAAGGAAAGGTGAATGGTAAAAGCGTAATTGTACTCGTACCCCTCCCCCTCCCCTTACCCGTTCGAACAATCGGATCGGGCAGTGAATAAATCAGTCGCTCCGTTTTGAGTGAATGAATTCACGCGCCGTTTCTCCTCGGGTCATCGAGGATTATCCCTTACCTCGGCGATAAGCGGCGCTCGTCCGAGGGGCACGGAAGAGGGACGGCAGTTGGATAAGATTACGCGAGATCGCAAACAAGAGGGCCGAAGTATATACACACGAATATATGACGAATCGAGTTGTCCCGTTCGTAGACCAATTTTTTTTCTTCCTCCTCCTCCTCCTCCACCTCCTCCTACTCTTCATTACGCCAACGCGCAAAAATGATAGATTAGAGAGCGTATATTATTGGAGGAGGAAGGAGGGGATGGACGAGATGCGATACGATCGCGTAAACGAGAAAGAGACGTGGATCGGGGTGGAGGGGGGAGGAGAGAAGCGAACGACGAGCGCTGTTACCATCTTTGCGTTTAACGCGGGTAACACGGTTAACTGCGGTATTTTCCTATTAATAAATAGATTTGTTTGGGTTCGAGCCGCGATAAAGGATTAATAAACGCGGCTAAATAAACGTCACGCGATTCCGCGATGCAACGCCAAGGTTACAACAACAAAGCATGGAACAATCGAAGGGACAAGTGGTGGGGCACGTTTCTCTTTCTTTTTCTGGGATGCGCGCCATCTCTCGAGTCCGTTACACATTTCACCTTTGAAAAATTTCCCATACGTTACGAATGGAGTGGACGAGAGAATTCACGATTAGATTCCTTAGCTTCTTCTCTCTCTCTCTCCCTCTCTCTTTCTTTCTCTCTTTCCTCGAGTCGACTAATTTCAGTGGTGATTGTTTTTTTCTTTTTTCAGCGATAAAAAGAGGGAATGACGGGAAGGTCGAGCGCGAAACAGAGGACGGCCCTGTGTCTGTTGACACTGTTGTTGTTGTTATTCTTGCGCCTTTCAGCATCGTCCGTCGTCGGGGAACCAATCCCGTCCGAGTTCTACGGCAAAACTTCGGACAACGATTTCGTAAGCATCTCATTCTATTATTTTTGTCTTTATTTTTCTCGTCCATTATTCTCATTCATTCGCCTCATTCGAATCCTTTGTACGTGTATATAATCGGCAGATATTGCTCAACAAGCTGAAGGAGTTGTTCGAGGAGAAACAATACGTCGCGGAACGGGAGAAAGAGTTGGACAAGGAACGTATGAAGATCCAGTCGATAATAATGGAGGGGAAGGAATCGGAGACACAATCGGATTCGGAATACTACGCTGAGAAACTACCGACACCGAATGCCGTGGTTAGACAAGAGCCGCAGCATTCCGGCAAGCGTACCATGATCAGTTGTGAGTAGCAATCCTTCCTTCATCACTTCTTTTCATTCCATCTTGTGCTTTCAATCTCTCGAAAAAATTGAAAACGCTGAAAATGACCGATGATTTCGCGACTGGATCGAGAGAGAGAGAGAGAGAGAGAGAGAGAATGATAGAAGAATCGATTGGACCAATTGACTTTTGATTCGATTCGTTGCGTCATATCGTCAACAACATCGTTCACCGTTGAAGGATAAGACGACGATCGATCAATAGTCTCTTCCATATTTTTTCCCAAAAATGTTTTCCCAAAAAAGAAAAATTCAAAATCTCGTTATGCATTTATTCATTCTTGAATTGTTGTTTAGATATGACGTTGTGCCACTTCAAGATATGCAACATGGGGCGCAAGCGGCAATTTCACAAGTAAAAAAAACAAGATAAACGAAATGGTTGGCGGATGATGGGCCATGGGATCGAGAATGGTCGAGCCTCTTGCGCGGTGCACCCTTTGCCTCGAAAGAGACACGCGAAAAGAGGGAACGGAGGAATTTCCCATTCCTCGAATGGAATTCATTGGCTTTCCAAATTCTCCATTCGATCAAAAAAAAAAAAAAAAAAAAAAAAAAGAAAAAGAAAAAAATCCGGCTCCGATTCGGCGCCTTCCATGCTCTTTCCAACTCTTTCGAGAATCCGTTCAAAAAACCACTTAAGGCTCGTCACATTTGTCACTGTGAAGCGAGGAAAAGTTTGATGATCGGCGGGGCCGATATTTCGTTACGATATATTTTTCGTTCTCGTATCGAGGGACGCGAATGATCGTCAATAATCATCTTACGATCGATTTATGAGCGAACCCCTGATCGGCGAAAAGATATTGGGGATACGAGTGAATGCGTATATATTTCACCAGTATCGTTTAATTCGATCGAGGACACTGCATTCGCGACTCGACAATTGTTCTTTTACGTATTCAATATAATTTATCGATATAATCAAAAATATATATATATATATATATAATTCGATATAATTAAACGCAATAAAATTTCTCGACGATTAATTCATATTCCAGAATCTGTTCAAAAACGAAACTAAGAGGACGAAAAAGAGATGAACGAATGGAAAGAGAGAAAGAAAGAGAGAGAAAACGAAACAAATTAAATTTAAAGAGTGGAGTGTCCTCGACGAGCCATCGATAGAAAATCGAAATGGCGAATAAGTATTTATTCGTTAGGTTTAAGCGAGAAGGGTGCAAGGGCCGAGGCTCAAATGTTCTCGAAACTGTTTTTAAAGGAATATATATATATATGTGTGTGTGTGTGTATGTGTGTACATATATATATATATATATATATATATATATATACATATATATACATATATCGAAAAACAAGAAAATGAGATTATCACAGCACGTACAATTATAAAAAAAACATTATTCTTCTAGTTAGCGAAAAATTTGTTACGATATTCTGCTATCCGTTTCTTTATATGTATGTTCAAATTCAAACATATTCGTAAATAAGAATGTAAACGTTGCTATATATCAATTATGATTTACGACTCTTTTTCCAATCGCACGCATTTTGACAAAATTTAACCGTTCTACCTTTCCTATCCTACGATTGTTATCGGAATAAAGACGAATGATATTTTTGATAAAAAAAAAAAAAAGCAACAAGAGGACGAATAAAAGGAAAAAGAAATGTACGTCGACGATCTCAGGAAAAAAAACAGAGACGGAAAAAGAGAGGCCGCCTGCACCCTTCGTTATAAATTATTTATAATCGTTTCGGAAAAAGAAACGTACCATGTTTTTATCTAGTTATTTTATGTGTCCCTTTTTATTTATTTAATCCCGATAAATTCGTTACTTTTTTAGTAGCTCTTCATCCTGAAAATGCATCGTCGTTTGCTCCAAAATATTTTATGACTAAGCATTCTATCGATCGTTTTTCTACTAACTTATTTTTATTTTTTTTTTATAATTTAAATATATTCTACGTGCATTTATGCCAAAATTGTCGTAAATCATTTCTTTGTAAAATCTTAATCTTCTCTTGTGCTACTATGATACAATGCTACTATGATATTTGAATTATGATATTTAAAAATGTATCTAAATCTCTTATCTTCAAGTTTAATCAAATTTAACCATATGTTTTCGCCTCAAATCGCGCAAGATTTAAAGTGGGAAAAATTAATAATTTTTCATCATTGTGATTCCCAATAACAATGTAATACAACAATAAAATAATAGCAACATAATAAAAAGCATAATTATATGAGTAGTATGTATATGTGAACTTATTATTTCTATTGTCTCGAAATGAATCAAAACTCCGAAATTTTTTAAATATCGTGACAACGAATATTTTTCTCACAATGATAAAAAGCGCTCTATTTTCGAATCATATATTGGTCATTAATGAATAAAAGTATAAAAATATATGTATTTTGTATTTATTTAATATATAAATATAAATTATTATTAAATTTTCGTAAAGAGAAATAAAACGCGTATATATAATGTTGTGCAAAGTACATACACGTGCTCAGTCACGTGAGATAATAAACGTAACAAATAATTACACAATGATAAAAGTTGCGTTACATTACGTATATCCCGTAACGTAAAATCTGACGATTCATCAATATGATTATATATAGACAGATCAATAATAAAAAAACAATAATTTGAAGTAATAATTGACATAACCTCAAACTATTTTTTGATTTTTATAATTAAATTTTAAAATGAAACACCTACCAGTAATCGTACGTCCTTTATATTTTTCCAATTTTTTAGATTTACTCACGACATGATAGAAATAATTTTATAAATCACAAAAATATCACTATTATTCACAAGAATCACAACCAAATTATATTGAATACATTTTTTTCTATAGACTATAATTATTTTCTAAAATCTAACGTTTACGTTTTTTGTTATTATATATATTAAGTTTAAATTAATGTAGTAATATCAGTAATATATTGTACGTAATTATAAAATAAACAACAAATAAATATCACATGTTCAGAACACCGAAATATTCGAGATCACTCTGCCCACTGTACATTTAAAACTAAACTAATAATACGTAGCAAAAAGCGTACGATTTATCATTCATAGATAATACAGTGTTACAATAACTATTTCTCATTCGTTCTTAATAACGATAATAAATACATCAAAATATATATCATATGCTCTTATATTTGCGAATAAATATACTTAAAACATTTTCAAATAGATATATATATATATATAAAATATAAGTCTGTATTTAATCACGCGCCTAAAACAGATATAAATAAGAAAAGTAAACAGCGAGAGAAGAAAAGAGATAAAAATTCAAAACTCAGTTTTTAGAATGCCAGATGAAACACAGATAAAATATATAAACAAAAAGCAAAATAGTGAAAGAAGATACAAATATGTTAAAAATAATGTATCTTATAGGATTTTATGAAATATGTTTATGAAATATCGATCGGTTAAAAAAAGATCAGATTGTTTCTTATGCCGTTTTTTATGTTTCTAATATTTTACGATTTAAATACGTATATAAAATTAAATTATGCAAAAAATATAAAATCCTTGTTTGGAAAACGTTCAAATCTTTGATCGTTGTGCAAAATAAATAATAAAAAAATATTATAAAGAAATCAAAGCAAAAAACTAAACCAGCTAATTTCTATCAATTATTGTATTTTATTTATTTAATTAATCCATCAACACATGCACACATAAAAACATATTAATTAAGAATTAATTAAATGGTGAAAGAATACATTTATTTAAAATAAAAATATAATTTATTTAATTTCTAATATTCTCTACAATATCTCTCTTGTAATATTCTTAATAGTATATTATGACTTACTTAACAAATATATATCGTCACAAATTAATAAAAATAATTGCTTTTTATACGAAAAATTAAATGTTATTATCTGATTGTTATTTCGAAATATTATTATGGCATCCATATTGAAATTTGTTTTTCCCGCCTTGTAAATTCTCTCAACAGTTAATTATTAATATATACAAAAAACTAATCAATTCTTTAGAATAAATATATAAAATGTATGAAATTAAAACGGTTGTATCAAAATAAAGTAATAATCAAAAATTTAAATCTCATTTTAGAAGCTAATAATATTTTATGATAACATTAATAATAAAATAAGTTGATAAAAAAATATAATTGAGTAAATTAATTAAATAATAATATTCGAAACATGAAAGAACAATTACAGAAATAATATGCAATAAATTAAATTTCATATACCTAAAACGAGAAGTGTCTGTATCCTATAATGCTATTTCGACAACAGAATGATATCTTATGCCGCGATTTTATCAAAGATTTGAACGGTTCAGCAAAAAATTAAAATTAAAATGCCGAGTATGATACGAACGCGAATTATTAATTTTCGAAGATATTGCATTGTATAATGTATCATGAGAAATATCTTTCATTTTGAGCGTAATATCAAAACAAAAATAATACGAATACATAAATTTAAAAAAATAATATATAAGAACATGTAATATATAAAATAATCTGATTTAACTATTTTTATTTCCATTACGAATAAAAAGATAAAAGAAATTTGTAATAATTATTATTACATTATTTTTTTACTTCTTAAAATAAGACGAAAATCGTGATGAACTTATTTTTCGATTTATTTATAATTAACTTTCGATTTATTCCAGTTTAAATAAAATTAAAAATTAAATAAAACTATAAAATAAAAATAATATTAAAATAACTAGATTCAAATCCGGATTCAAATATTTGTAATACGAACTATTGTTAACTGTCAAATGCGCAAACGATGATGAAAAATGATAAAAAAATTTTAAATGCGATACAATTTTAATATAATAATACTTCATAAGTGAGTAAATACACATCTGTTAATTAATAAACAAAAAAATTAGTATAAATTACATCACAATCAAATTCTACATAATTACATACTTGCGTTACTGTGATGCACATTTTCTTTACGATTCTTGACAACAGACTAATATATGTACACTTATTCGTTTAATCGCTGGGCCTTGACAGCTTTTTGATTGATTGGACGGGACGGTTCTTTATTCATCTTAATCGCACGAAAATTGAATCATAATATAAAACATTTCAAACATTTTATAAATTTCTATAATATCAAAGACTTATAATGACATACCAACTAAAAATATAATAAAAATAAATTATTATAATTAATTTAATATTAAAAATTATCTAAATTAAGATTTAAAATATAAGAATAAATATATAAAATAAAATTTGATTAAATCTAAAAAAGTACAATATAAAAAAGAAATAACAATAAAATATATTTAAATATAAATAAAAAATAATGAAACGCGATGAAACTATTTGAGATAAATATAAAATTAAAAAAGAGATTAAACGATTTTTGGAATATAATAATATTTTAGCAATTTTTTTAGATTTTTATTTTTAATTGTTCTGCTTCTAACAATTCATTACGATTTACGAAAAATATAATAATTAATGTATTTTTGTAAGCTGTGCAGAGAAAGCATAAAAAGAATTCCTATATTATTTCAATATATATGTAATTATAGATTCTCTAATATTTTAACATAACCTGTTCATTTTCTTTAGCTACTATATTTACCAATTTTTTTAAATTCTGAAACATACATACATATACATATACATATAAATTTTATATTATTTTTATATTATTTTAAAATATAAATCTTTGAAAAATTTTTATCCTTTTTGATTTTCTATTTTCTATTTTTATGATGAAATGCTCCTTCTCAATTTTTGCTTTGATTAATATTTTAATCTAATTTATAAGAATTATAAGATATAAGATAATATATAAGAATTATAAGATATTAATAATTATATTTGGCTCAATATATAATACATAATGATAGATCAGATTATTAAAATCTTACATTATTATGCTTTATATAGAAACAAATGAAAATATAATTTAAATGATATAAGCAATTGATTGCTGAATAAATTAAATTAAATAAATTAATTAAATGATTTTTTTATTTATTTTTTTATTTTTATTTGCTATAAAAGGCAGAAATATATTTTTAAAGATAGATTATCAATTCAATTTTACAAAATAGATATTCACAATATATGCATAATTATAAGTAATAAGAATATTGAAGAATATCACATCATCTTTCTTTCTGCTTGTTTTTTTCATATCTATCCATAGATCGATTTCTTTCTTTACGTTTTTCTTTTTCTTTGCGATTCGAATGTCTTTCTTTATATTTCTCATATCCTAAATTCTCATTGACGCTTTCTCTGTTCCATCTTTTTTTTTCATTGTCATGTTTCTTTTTTTGTTTGTGTTCTTTATAATTTTCTCTTTTGCTTTTATCGCGACTTCTACTTCTGCTTCTATCGCTATGTTTCTTTTCTTTTTTCCGTCTAGAATCATATTCATATTTTTCGCGTGATGTATCATGATATCTTTGTTCCTTGTGCTTCTCTTTCTCTATATATTTATCATTATTATAAGAATATTCTGAATTGTTCTTATTATCATTCTTTCTATGTTCATGTTTTCTATGATCCATCATTTCTATTTTATTTTTTTTATCATTCTCCCTTCGACTTTTTATATCATCACTGTTTGTAGATTCGTCTCTTTGCTTGTATCTTAAACTAACTTTTTCTAAATTTTCATTATTATCTTTATCGTTGAAATACTGTATACCTTTACCCTTGCCTTTCCATCTCATCTTAGCTACTGATTGCGAGAAATCTACGTGTATACGACGATCGTCAATTAAAACGTTATCCATTTTAAAATACGCCTCCTCGCAACTTTTACGATCAGCAAATTCGATAAACGCATATTGTAATGAATCACCGGTTTGCCGATCTCTGATAACTTCACAACTAGAAAAAAAGAATAGAAAGAAGAATTATAAAAAATATAATATTATATGAATAATACTAAATGTAATAAAAGAAATAATTTAACTTAACATACCCTATAATCTTTCCAAATCTACTAAAAACAATTTCAAGATCATCATCAGTTGTAACAGGATTTAATTTACAAACAAACAAAACATTTTCAGGAGGAGCCATATCTGCATCTGGAATATCACCCACGATTTCTAAAATTGTAGCTCTTGCCTTAGCTTCCTTTTCTTTTTGCATTTCTATAATTTCTTCAGCTGTCATACCAGCTGTATCATCTATCACTTCATCAGCTCCAATTCTATCGCTCTATAAATATGTTTTTTTTTTTATTATAATACAAGAAATTTTAATTTTTCAAAATATAAAATAAAAAAAAATAATTATACCATTAAAACTTCTTTTGTGGGTGGTGGGCTCTGATCGGGTACAATAAAATTTTTTGGATCCTCAAAAGGATCTTCCAAAATCACGGTATGAGAAATACGTATATCTTGATAAGGTCTATGATCTCCATCACAAATAGTTTCATTGAACTTAAGAATAATCTCTAAACCTTCTGTAATTTCACCAAATACACAATGTTCTCCATCTAATGATTGAAGTTCAGGTGCAAGAGTAATAAAAAACTGAGATCCAAGCATATTATTGCCACAATTAATCATGGATAATAAACCACTTCTATCATGTTTTATTTTTGGCATTTGCTCTGCTTCATAATATCTTGCTTTTTCACCTAATACTATTCCATAAACACTTTCTCCACCTTTTCCAGTACCAGTAGGATCTCCAGTTTGAGCAATAAAATTGTTTTGAACAGAGTGGAACAAATTCCAATTGTAATATTTTAATTTGCATAATTTTAAAAAATTGCGACATGCTACAAAATATTATGTATATTAATAAATATTAATCGGTGATAATAATCGGTAAAGTATTAATTTATAATATAATAATAAAAAACCTAACCTCTATTCTTGCTTTACACTTACTTTGCGGGCGTTCTTCTGTATACAAATCAACAGTAAAATCTCCTATAGTAGTTTCAACTACAACTGCCATGTTTTTATACTTTTCTTACATAAAGACTAATTTTATTCACATTTAATATGTATATACTATTCAGAATTTATTCTATCACTATGTGATACACCTCATAACTATATGGCGCTGAATTAAAGAAAACATCTTTCAGAATTATGTTTCCTTTCAAAATCACAAATGAATGTTCTTCAAGTGAATTAAATATTTAGGAAAGCAATACAATTTTTTAAATTCTTTATATATTGATTATAACATATATATACAGATAAATAAAAATAAAATACAAATTAAATATATGTCACGATTAACAAATATTTTTATTCTTTTTTTTGTGGTAAAATTTTTGGTAAAGAAATGAATTCAAGTTTATAAATATCAGGTACAAGAGCACTTAAAACCATATGTGTTAATGCTGCAGTGAAACCCCAAACGCGATATTTCCCACCCAAATAAACTGGCAAAGTGTAACTGTCACGGAAATGAGTAAACCGACACAATGAAAGATCGCAAAGATTTCTCAAACTGAAAAAAAAAGCTTCTTCTACTTCATCTGTATTAATTTGAAGTTTTTCGGGATCAATTTCGCCAACATAACTGAAAACAGGCAAAACCTTGACATTCTGTTTATCGAATATATTACCGGAAGTCCAAATATCGATTTTCTTTTTTGGAATTTTAAGTTCTTCCCATGTTTCACGTAATGCAGTTTCTTCCAGGTTAGAATCTTTCTTGTCATACATACCACCAGGAAACGAGACTTGTCCACGATTCGCAGTTACTTTTGTAGATCTTAAAGTATATATGAAACCTAGCTCTCCTTTATTCGTACATAATGGTATTAAAACAGCAGCTTGAGTTGTATTGTTATCTATGCGTTTGGAATCATATCTTTCCGGAATTATACCATTCTTGAATTTTTCAATAAAGGATTTCCGATTTTCTTTACTAAGCACCACTTCCGGTCTCAGATGTTCGAACTTGATGGCATTTATATTTCGTTGTGATTCAGTCGACTTTTTTGTAAAGAAGAAACATTCTTTTAATGCAATATTATAATAATAATCAACAGTAATATCAGTATGATATATTAATCGATATTTTAGTCGTTTTTGTACATTATATACTAACAATAATTGATTAAACATATTTCTGAAATATTAACAATTCAACAAACATTTTTTTCAACTTAAGAAAAAAAAAATAAAAAATTTTGTTTTGTCTTTACCACCACTATTCAAAAATAAACAAACGGATATCCGCGAGACAAGCGTCATCTAGTATGCAGAAAGTACAGCAAGCAAAAGAAAAATACTTACAAAGTAACGCTGTGAGCAGCGTAGAAAAACTGAATATAGTTTCATTGATAAACTGTATTTTTGAAATACTTTTTATGTTATGCGATAAAGGTCGAAAAACACTACAAAAGAAATGTGTTATATTTAACGTAGATACCGTTGATGCTCAATTTATCAAGAATCTCTTCTAATATGTCTACCATCACAATAATTTTATACACAGCTGCTAGATGTCCGATCAATCGACTTTCCGCAATCTTTATTTTATCGTAATTTTATTGTATTAAATATGATAATCAACGCATGGATCGCACGTCACTTTATTAATTTTTATTTATATCATTTGAATATAAATATTTATAATTTACCATTTAAAAATCCTTTTATCGTCGTTTTTCGCAATAATTATTAAACAGATTTTTATCACTTACAAAATTCAATATTTTCATCTATTTATCGTCAATTAAAATATTAACTGAATCATGTTTATATATTTTCTGTTACTTGTAAGAAATAAAATTATTATTGTTCATAACTATGTAACGAATTCTTAACCTTCAAGATTATAAAAAACAGGAAGAGCGTAAATATTACCTTTCAAAATTAATTCAATGTATTAGGAATGACTAATGCAAAGAACGATTCAAAACATCTATTTGATAGTAATATACAAATATAATATTAATATTTATTTGAACAAATTTACCTAGTCTACGTTTATTACGATATTATCTATTATTTAATTTTTAGTGATTACTTCATTGATGTCAAAAATATATCTATTAATATATATATATACCCGAATATATACGTATGAATATATGTACATACGTATGATTTCAAAGTATTCTTGCTATAAATAAAATTATAACTTTATTTTATTTTAATAATCTTGATATAAAAATTAAATTTTCGGATTTTGACTTTTATTGCTTCAAAATTAAAAATATTTGATTTTGACATATGCATATAAATTACAAAAAGATATATATTTATTGCAAAAAGATATAGATTGTAAAAATAAAAAGTAGACATTGAATTTAGAAAGCATTATTTCTACAAAAATTCTAATATTTTTATGATTTTTATCTTATTGCAATAAGTACATCTATAGTAACAAATAACAGTTTTAGAATATATTATCTAGAATATATATTATATATATTAATATATAATATATTATGTTTGAATGAATTTGAATTGTATTAAAAATAAATTCATGGTTATAATTTCTTTTTATTAAATAATTTCAACTGATAATTTCGAAAAAAAATCGATCATTTTTTATCTTTATATTCAGAAAACTTTGCAAAAAAATTTATGAATATTTTTAAATTTCCAGTAAAATTTATTTTTCTGAAGGCTTAAAACGAGAGCCGAATAAAACCGAAAATAGCCGATGATGTTGATTCATATTCGATGCGTAGCGTTAGTCTGTGATTACCAATGTCGCCATCACGCTGTGCTGCATACGCTAGTCAGTCGTGTTAGAGAAACGCGGTCGTGAATTGGTTTGATATTTTTGTTAACTATTTTGAATAACTATATAGAAGGTATTGATATGAAAATATAGGCAATGAGTGATCGTAATAAATCTACCTGTTAACATTAAATCACAATAAAGAAAATAATCGTTTAATATCATTGCTCTCATAAACGAGCTATGTATTGGTTTTATGTGTTTTTCCGAGGTCACCGTCAAACTTTGACAGACGTTAATATGTCACATCTAAATATAATATTCTTTCTGCTGGGTATCTGGACTCTCATTAATACAGTAAGTTATTTGTTTACAAAATCACAACCCTTATGAGAATTGTACAATATAATTCATTATCTACACCACACCCTGATGTGAAACTCGCATTGTGACGTCATCTCAGTTTACCTCATGAAAATTTACCGTTGACATTGTTAACGGATTAAAAAATTATATATATTAAATTTAATTATTTTCGTTATATAAAAATTATATATAAAAAAACTATATTAACCGATATATTTACCTTTTAAATGTTATTTTTTCCGATGAAAATGGAAAAAACTATTTTTTAATTTTTAGTGAAATTAATTTTCTGTTAAAATGATATAAAGAATTTTATTTTTATTATTTTATGTTTGCAAATATTATTTAATTGATATGATACTTTTTTATTGATATAATTCTTCTACAAAATCTTTGTATATTTTATAAAAAAGTTTTTAAAATTTCAAGCCACATATATTTTTTATTAAAATATAATACTTCGAAAAATGAATCATGAATCGCTCAATAAATTATTTGTATTATTATTTATAATAATAAAATATATATATATTATAAATAGATAATAAAAAAGAATAAAGAAATTTTTTATTACTTTAATCATATATGATTATGATGATTAATTTAATTTATAACAGTGACCTCACTTAATATTAGTCCCTCTTCTTATCAAATAATTGATTATGAAAGAATGTTAAAGTCTTTGTATACAATCTTATAATGTTCTGTAAGCAATGATTCATTACTTGTTAATGCTATATAATTGATAGAAAGATTTTCTATTTATGTTATAATTTTATTTTTTTAATAATCTTTTTATAATTTTTTTTATAAATTATCAAAAAATAGAAATATATTTTAAAATAATATATTATAATAAAATATAATAAGATATTTAAACTTTTTTATTTAAAAAAAAATTGTTTCACTTTTATTTATTATTAACAGGTATCTGCTGCAGAAGATGGTCATTGCATTTGGTATGGAGAATGTTACACAGATAAGTTCAACATGCATAAAAAAAATTGCCCTTATATTGGACCAGCCAAATTATTGGATAATAATGGACAAAAATTATTAGCTAAAAATTGTCCTCATTTAATGATTGATTCTGGAAATGGAATTAACACTTGTTGCGATACAAATCAATTACAAACAATGGATACAAATATTAAGCTGGCATCTAATTTTTTATCCAGATGCCCTAGTTGTTTGGATAATTTAGTAAAACATTTTTGTGAATTTACTTGTAGTACACAACAAAGCAAATTTATTAATGTTACTGAAATAGGGAAAGAAAATGGTAATTTAAATTATTTTTTTAATTTTAATTTTATTTTTTATTTTTTTATAATTTTCTCATTTCTCACTTTAAAATAAGTACTTGCGATATATATTAAATAATAATATTTTTAAATTTTTAGAAATAGAATATATCAATGGAATAAATATTTATATAACAGATAAATATATTGAAGGTACATTTAATTCTTGTAGTAAAGTATCAGTACCTAGTACTGGACAATTAGCAATGGATTTAATGTGTGGAATATGGGGAGCTAGTAGATGTACTGCATGGAAATGGTTTCATTATATGGGCGATGCAGCAAATAATGTATATGTACCATTTCAAATTACATATATAAATACTGATGAACCAATCGATTCATTTATTCCTGTAGATCCTAAAGTCACACCTTGTAACAAGGCATTAAATGTAAGTATTTGTTTTTGCAATTTTTTCTAAAGGATATATAAATGAAAAAATTTGATCTTTTTTCTGGATTAAGGGAATTTATTTATTATATTTCATGTAATTAGAAAAATACGCCAGCATGCAGTTGTGTAGACTGCGAAGCCAGTTGTCCAGTGCCTCCACCAATTCCTCCTTTACCAAGACCTTCTACTATTTTTGGTTATGATAGTTATGCTGTAATAATGATCATTACTTTTGTCTGTGGTTCAACTCTCTTCATCTTGTCAATAGTGTGCTTCAGTAATAGGAAACAAATTGGTAAGAAACATCAGTTATTATTTAATAATATTTATTCAGATAAAATTCATAATTTTTTATATATTTTAAGGAAAAATTGTTAAATTTCTAACTATATTACACAACTTGCTATGTAAAATTCATCTCTTTTCCTTAAACTTTGTACCATATTTTATTCAGTAATAATTTACATAATATTCTTTTTACATCAGTGACTAATTTTATATGTAATTTACATTGTTTTAAAAAATATAAGTACAATTCAATTTCAAATTATTTTAATGTTTGATCCATATCATTGATTTTCCTTGGTTATAGGATCATTTTTATTGTTGTGTTATTTCTATATTACTTTTCTCTTTGGTTATGGTTTTAAAAATTAATTTTATAAATTTTGCATTATGCTTGTAGTTTGATAAACACTTGAATTTTTTATTTCCTTTTTGTTGCGAAGCACTTATATAATATGATAATTAAAAACAACAGGAAAGCAAATATCAAATTATTTGAAAATAATTATTTCATTATCAGGTGAATATATTGCAATAAAAAATAGAACTAAAACTATTGATTTCTCTTTACTATATTTTTTTTTTCATATGATGAATGTAGTATCATGAATGTATAAAATAATAAATTGTATAAAATTGAAGAGATTTGATTTAGAATCACCAATTGTGTGTATGGTGTGCGTATATGTATAGTTGCACGAGGTGAGGAAGTAGGAAGGCAGGTGGGTAGACGCCTAGCCGCAGGGTTACATCACCCAGGAGATGGTGCGCGTATTGCTCTCGCCGCTGACCAAGAAGACAGCCCACTTCAATCTAAGCGTTCCAGTAGGTTCCTATCAACTGTATCTTCAATCTGTGGATTTGTGCTTGACCTTTAATTTCTGTTTTGTTATTGTATTTACTTTTATTCTTACATTATGCTTAATCATCATTTTTTTCATTTGTGTTTCATTGTTTTTTCATAAAAGATTTATTTCTTATTATTTATCATTTATCATTTATCATCATTATCTTTGTTACTATTGAAATTTATTTAAATTTTCACACATTAATATATTTTAAAATATATATGTCCAGAATGCAGGAACATATTTTAAAAAAAGGAGAAAAATTAAATAAATTAATTAAATCTTATTAAAATTTATTATATCAAATGTTATAAATATTACATAAATACATAGCATATATGTTACTTATTAGGAACTTTTATATTTATGATTAATATTCATTTCATGAATGTGCAGAATAACTTAATTTAAATTTAACTTAATATATATTTATATTATATTTTATATTTATTTATATATATTTATTTTTTTTTAATTATTTATTTTATTCTTTTAATATTTTAATAGAAATATACAAAACATTATAGTTATTTTATTTAGTACTCTTCATATTTTAAACACAAAATTGCTAAATATATAAATTAATCATTGTATGCTTTTTTTTATTTTTATATTAAATAAAAAGCTGCTCTGTCATAAAATTTATGTTATTTTGTTGCAATTCTTTTATTCTTCACAATTGAATGTATAGTTGCTTAATGTATCTATTTACAGCACATCGTCTACAATTTATTTCACTTACTGC